TTAAATTAAATTAAACTAACTTTATTTATATTATGGATAGATTTATCAGTTCTAAACTGTTCTCTCTAGAGGTCCAGTCAACTCTTATTGATCCAGTGTTACTACAGGAGGAAACCTAAACTAAACTAACTTTATTTATATTGGATAGCTCTATCAGTTCTAAACTGTTCTCCCTAGAGATCCAGTAACGGTCACCTCTTATTGATACAGTGTTACTACAGGAGGAAACTTAAACTAAACTAACTTTATTTATATTGGATAGCTCTATCAGTTCTAAACTGTTCTCCCTAGAGATCCAGTAACGGTCATCTCTTATTGATACAGTGTTACTACAGGAGGGAACCTAAACTAAACTAACTTTATTTATACTGGATAGCTCTATCAGTTCTAAACTGTTCTCCCTAGAGATCCGGTAAGGACATTCTTTACAGTTCCAGTGTTACTACAGGAGGAAACCTAAACCAAACTAACTTTATTTATACTGGATAGCTCTAAGCTCTATCAGTTCCAGAGGTGCTGATGACCAAAACACCCTTAGCATTGGTTGATTTTCTGGGAGGACCAAGAAACATTCAGCTCCCCAAGGAGGAAAAGTCCGCTTTAGCCAGTGCGTCATGCACTTTCTCTATTAAGTCCAAATCTTCTTAGTTTGATCTTGGTTACATTCTGGTCGTTTTACTTTCTTAAAGCACCATATGTGAAAATTTATCTGATGGAAAATGGCAAATGTTTAGCAAAGAAAAAGACTCGAACTGCCAGACGAACTTTGGAGCCTCTTTATCAACAGCAACTGGAATTCCGCTGTGATGTTTCTAACAAGACGTTACAGGTATATTGCGTTGTGTGACCATTTATTATTTTATTTAAAAAAATGAAATACGGTGCCGAAAAATTAAATAAAGTGCAAATTTCATTGACTATAAGATACAGCCATTTATAGCAGACAAAAATGTGACAAAAATGGCTGGCGTTTTTAACTATTTCGCATATGACTGCATATGTATATTATTAATAAGTAATAGTATAGTTTCTCGTGCAATTTGGAAAAACATAAGGACCCTCGTGAGTTTTTTTTCAAATTGCACTCGTCCTTCGGACTCGTTCATTTTTGATCGTCTTTGAAAAACTCACTCATACACGTGCATGTTTTTCCAAATAGCACTCGAAACCATTACCTATACAAATTTCTCCCTGCCTCTTCGTACAATGTGTGTTTTTCTCACCCAAGGTGATCGTCTGGGGTGATTACGGCCGCATGGACCGTAAAGTATTCATGGGCGTGGTCCAGATTCTTCTATCCGACCTTGAGCTCAGCAGTATGACGTTTGGTTGGTATAAATTATTCTCAACTGCGTCCATGTGCGAGCCTCCGATTTTCACACCCCCTACGAGTCCCATGGTATCCCCTAACCAGGGCTTCACGCGTCAAACGTCATCCTCATCTATCCATAGCTTACCCGCACCGCACCGGAGTCGACAACCTAACATGCATAAACATTCATCGCTCAGTCAGCTGGGGCCCACGCAGTCGCCACGTGGACAACCACGTGTTAGTAGGCCTAGAATAGAAATGATCGAAGACGAAGGGGATTATGTGTGACCTTATGGGATCGCAGGTGTTTTGTGGGGATAAGCGCGGAGTCAAGTATGGGTTTGTTGTATGTCTTTGGTATATATCCATGGGTGTACCCCACTGGTGTCCCTTTGTAGTTGAAATTTGAGACGACAACCACTTTCGCAAAAACCATTCGCTGAATTACTAGTGCTATACTAATACTATTCTGGGGTTTGTCTGTCTAGAATGAACAGAGAATTTTTCAAGTTTTAATTTTGTTTTAGTTCAAAACATTGATTGCGTCCAGACCGCATGTGTTTGATTGGGAAACTATAGACGCTTGCTATGAGTATGGTCAAAAGCTTTTTCCTGGGGGTTTGTCATGGTATAGCATAGTCGTTAATTTTACGCTCGATTGCATGTCTACCGCCATATTGAATGCGAAAGTATCTGTTTTCAGAGCTGCTGGCGATTAATCGGTTATTTTTCCACGTTTTTTAACAATCACCGCCCGTCAACCCACCAGGAATCCTGGCTAAATTATTCGCGATAGTGTAACCAAATTAACCTGGACTGTGGTTAAACTGACCAGGAATGTTAAAGATGCTGTAAAACCCGTTCTGCGCAGGCCTTATTAATATTTCGCACCTTCCGAACTTTCTTGAATTGAATCTCTAGTCTGTATTCATTTACAAGCATAGCGAACCAGTGTTAAAAATTCAGTATAATATATATCTAATCATATTTTACAACTGTAGCACTGAGTTCAAAATATAAACAAAGCGTTTGTTTACATTACGGACGTTACAGCATCTTTAAGTTATCCCAAGTGTTAATTTTAAGTCGTGTTTACACTACCAGCCTTGGCCTAGCCTTGGCCCTGTCCTTGGCCTACATTTTGACAGTGTAAACAGACCTTGGCCTAGCCTTGGCCAAGAAATCTGGGCCCACTATAACCGGTGGCCTAAGCCGTTTTACACTACGAGCCTAAGCCTGGCCTGGGCCTAGCTTTGGGCCAGATTTTTGTATTGTAAACGCACTTTGGGCCTGGCCTAGGTTAGGAAATGTGGAACACCTGTTCTGATGGCCTAGATTTCCTGACCTAGGCCAGGCCGAAGTGCGTTTACACTACAAAAATCTAGTCCAAAGCTAGGCCTAGGCCAGGCTTAGGCTCGTAGTGTAAACACGGCTCTAGGCTTGTGGAAATGTAAACACTTTCGGCCCTGGCCTGGGCCTTATTTTCATGGCAACGTGTCCACAGTGAGAGGTTAGCGGACAACCAGCGGACAACGTCACAACACATAAAAATACACAAAATTAATAACAAAATTCTAGGCCAAAGTGAGCCAGTCTAAAAAAAATAGTGTTATGGTGTAAACGCGCCACATTTACCTTGGCCTGGCCAAGGCTAGGCCAAGGCTTGTAGTGTGAACACGACTTTAGATTAAACAGGGTGTATTTTCAGTGTAACAGCGTTCGAAAAGCTTGCTTATATATTCATTGTGACATATATAGATAGGGAAATTGTATATGTCAGAAATATTTCTATGTTAATAGCGTATATTTATATTGTAACCTGTAGAGACATCTGAAAAACTAAATATTTAAAAACTTAATATATGATGCTAATTATAATTGTATGGTTGTGCGATGTTTAGCTCGCCAAAATGAGTTCTTGTAGGCATTGAGAATTAGTCTAAATCATTAAATTGGTATTCTGATTTTTTGAAATTTCTGATTTAATCAGTCATTTTTACAGAAATTTGCTACTGTAGACGTAGTGTACATATAATAATATGACGTATAATTCCCTAACGCCATTTTAAACTCCGGAAATTGTTCGGCGTGTCTTCGGAACGCCATCGTAATGATTGATTTAGTATACCGCACAGTGGCGACGTAACATAGTTTATCGCGATCCAAATTAAAAGTAAATTGACGCGAATGCACCTTGATTATGCTTGAGAATATGGTGCATTTCAGGAAGCACGTGTTTTTGTGGTTAAACATTCTAATGAAGTAAAAGCTTTTAAAAATCATTTGAATGGAAAAATTAAATTGTTTACATAATTCGTTCCACACATATAGTTTTGACCAATCATTGCTCAATTACAGATCTTGTTATACCGTTGTTTCAAAAAGACATGCAATTTACATCTCAGCATGACAAAATACTTAATATATGGCTAGAACTTCCTTCAATGAGGAAATGCATTAAAGCAAGCACATGAGATTTGATTTGAGAAAGACTATATAATCAACTTCTGACAATCTAACGACGAGAAGGTAACGAGAAGGTAAGTGTGTTTATGTCACACTTCCAATAATGAGTCGTATACTCCAGTTAAAGTATCTAAAACTGTTAATATCGTCGTAAAATTGTCGTAACTTGTATATTTAAGGAATGGGTCTAAGCCGAATATTGATATTACATTCTATTCGGCATGTTTTGTCACAAAAGTTTTACTGCACCTGTCGCGAGCAAAGCATATGTTTCACCAATGTTGTAGCTTGATTGTTTAGCGTTATTTAATTCAGGTTGAGTTCGAAACAAGTGCTGTATATATTGAACTGAAATATCGTTAAATTCCGCTAAGCACGTGCAAATTGTAAACCATATCGACCATGCAATGATGATATTTCAAAGTAAACCCCGGATAAACGAGGATGAGAGAATGTATGAGAGTTGACAGTCGACCATTCTTGGTTAGCTGTTCTTAATGCTTTCCCAACACTATCATGTATTCTATTGAAGTTTGAAACGTAGGTTGGACACTCATCAAACTTTTATTTTGTTAACCAGGTCAAAGTCTATTAAGGACGTCATAGACTCTAGCTAGACGCTAAAGCTTGGTTTCCATGTATGGTCGTAAAAATCAGGATCTTTCTCAACGGCCAGTTTATAATAGTTTACACCTGTAAACCACATATAAATCATAAGTATTCTCTAGTTTAATCACTGCGCGTATTTTCAGTTCTAAAATGTTGTATTTCGGCTGAAGAGAAAGATCGTGACTCAATCTTTACGACCGTTACGACCATATGGAAACAAGAGTTGTTACGAGCGAGAGTTATATACGGTTGCAACTCTCGTTCGAGCGAGAGGCTTGAAACATCAATAAATGCTTAAATCCTCAATGCTCTCTCAAAAGATACTCGTTTCTACTCAGAGAGAATTTCCATTTCGTAGTCCAAGTATCACGTGACCCTCAACGGAATTATGATAATGAACTTGCCAGTATTTTCCAAAACATCCGGCATATTTTAAAGATCTTTAAAACTATGTATTCTTATGAGAAAATGTCGATGAACAAAATAAGTTCACGCTGTGAATATTATACATGTAATCTTTTCAAGCGTAGCCCATGGTAGCTGGCCGGGTTTGAAGTGCATGTAGCCAACAGTTGCTTTGAAGTTTTTTCATATAAACCTCTTGTTCCTTAGAATGGATTCGAAAGAGGCACATCAGCGTCGCCTCCTTCTGTTTTTCATCGGTATCTTTCTTCTTTTAACTTTGGCTGAAGTGGACTCATGTCAAAAACTAAGGCTTTTGTCCTATCCTACAAAATACCTCCGTTGTTTCGCAGGAAACCAACACTATTTTCACTTTAACGCTCCTGCACTACTAAAGCATCGATATAACGTCAGAAAGATTGACGAGTATTTTGCAAGGGAATTGGTGTTCGAGAAAATTGAAAAACGCTGGAACTATTGGAAAAAGCTAACAGGAGGTCAACCGATTATAAAAGAGGAACTGGGAAAAACTCCGAAGACAGTCACATTCTTACCAACAAATTCGATAGCTTTGAAAGAAATTTTGCACGATTTACAATTTTTTCCTCTCCTCTTTCGTGACCATAACGATCCTATCACATTCAACATCCCGGTAGATGGGGAAACAATGAAATTGAGGCTGCAAAATAACGAAGAAACGGGACAGTTTCTTGCACACAATGTTTTCAATGATCCGCCTGGCACTGCCGATCAAACAACTGACCTTTTTGATGAAATAAATCCTCTCGAAGAATTTAACAATATTGAAGACTCATCAGATCATGTTCATATTTTTAAAAATGTACTAAAAGTCGTAATACCTGAAATTTATAGCGCGAGTTTAGGTCGCACAGGAGAATTCAACGAACAATTAAGAATAGAGGAAGACGTTCAAAGGGCAAAAAATGAAAGGGATGGAAAAGCTGTTCTAACGCCAATTTCAGAAAACAGCAGAAATGCGGCGTTCAGAAAGGGTTTTGAATTTATGGCTGCTGGTAATTTCGGAGGACATGTACCAAAAAAGGCATGGCTTCGACCGATTCACGACGCTCTGCAGACAGAAAGAAAAATAATCACGGACAAGTTAAACGGTGAAATCGAAGCAGATGAAACTACGAAGATTAAATACGAACTTACTGCAAAAATGCTAAAAACGGGACAAGACGCTAAACGTCGGTGGGACGAGTTAAAACACGATGGCATCATTGTACCAAAATATGACGCAAATGGAAAATTAACACAAGTGAAAATAAAGGAAACGGATGTTATGATACTAAGCGAATCCTTTGAATTGCTGCAATCGTTTCTTCAAATTTACCCCGAGGTAGAAAATGGACAGCGGATAAAAATTAATATTCCCATTGGAAACACGAAAGGAGGTGTCTATCTTTCAAGAGCAATACGTGGAGAAGAACAACTAGTGGTGGGGACTAGGAATGAGGATTGGCCAGAATCTACGCCACGTAAAGAAAACGGCGGAATGTTTAGACCATCTTATGATGACATGGTGGATAAAGTTCTCGGTAAAGTCACCGAACCTGCGATTTTTAGCGATGTATTGTTAGGCGCATGCGTGTCAGGTTTAGACAACCAACCAGACTTTGACGCCCAATTTGAATCAATAAGTGCTAGTAGTAACGGTATGGTAAAAACTGCTGATTTGACACGTTCTTCCGTTGAGTTGTTGACCATATCCATGGTTGCCGAAGCTGCGTCACCTCCAGATATACTAAAAGCACAATTCGTGGAAGATATAATAGAAGTTATCGACAAAGAAAAACGATTTCCTACCGCAAATGAAATGCCTAGTCTGGAAGATCCTTATGGAAATATGCTCAACGCAGGAAAAACGCCAGTCAAAGCAGGGAAAAGAACAACGGTCAAAGCAGGAAGAAATCCAGTTAATGCTGAAATAACCATGAACCTGTTGAAAGAAATTTCTCGAACGAACGTTGGATTCGATGTGGTTTTCGTGAACAGCAAGTATCCCGCAAGAGGCGTGGTGAAGAAGGATGGCGAGCCCCCTAAAGAAGGAACAAAAGATGCGAGGATTTATGTTCAAAGAAATGGAGATAGCGAAATTCCATCACACGCACTTCGTGAATTAACTCACAGTGTTTATTATGGACAAACCGTAGCCGAAATAGCGCGTTTGTCCTGTGTTAACCCCAAAAAACTAAGGGTTGTAATGTTATGTTTCGCTAGTTGCTAACAAATGTTTGCGCGAGCGTTGAGGAGTATTTCGTGGGTGCCGCACGACCATTTCCCTCTGATATAATATAGAATTGAAAATTGGTAGAAATCGTTAAATTGGATTGGTAGTCAGATGTTCAAAGGTCGTTTTTACAGAATTTTACAAACATATTTCTACATGATTTTTCTGTGTTGGTGTAATGTATTCAGGTGAATATGATGCCTGAATATATGCCTGACCACGGTGGGAATCGAACCTACGACCTTTGGAAAGGTCGATATACACTCAGAGTAACATCACAAGCATAATATATCTACATACAAATATATTTAAATAGACGGATAAGGCGTTTAATTGGAAAGTCTAGCTAAACGCGCGCGCGCGCGGGGGTGTATTTTAATGTTAAAACATCCTGAGAATAGTTTGCCAACCTGAGCCGCGCGCGCTCAACGCCACTTCTATATAGAGGCCTGGGTACGAGGCCGCGGATCATCTGTCATGCCAAACCAATGAGCTCTATACATATAACTGGAGTAAGAACTTCAGTCATTCGGCCTAAGAGAAAAGTGAAGCCAAAATGGCGGCTATTGACGTCCAATAGCTATGAAGATCGTAAACAGTTTGATACCTTTTTTCCAGTTAATTCTAGTGTTTTTCGAAAGGACCGTATCGCTAATCAAGTTTTCAGTTCATAAAACCATAGTATTATTCTTTAAATCGAAGTCAAAATACGAAATTTCGGTACCTTCTTTGCAGATTCGTGTTCACCGCGCAGCATCCATTTTGGCTTCACTTTTCAGGCAATAAGTGGACGCAAGCCTAGACTTGCTCCAAGTCTCTCTTTCATTGTCATATAGTGTCGATGTCATATAGTGTCGATACACTA